GCCCTCCCTGCCCGCGCCGGGAGCCCGGCGGCCTCGGCCCCTCTCGCCGGCCCCAGCTACAGCCTGTCTTTGTTGCTTCCTCTCGCTCGACCGCCTGCCGGCGGCTTGCAGCCCCCGGGTCCACCCGGCGGTGGGTGGGTCTTCTCCTTTGGGGTTGCCCGCACCTGCAGCGGCCCGGGAGCCTCGCCGGGCTTGCACCGGCCTCCGCAGGTTGCAAAAAGCCGCCGCGAGAACGCACCGGCCCCTCCTCCTCCTGCTCCGAGCCCCGGGTGTGGGGGGAGGGGAAGCCGGAGAGTAGCGGCAGCCGAGGCGGCGGCAGCTGGCGGCGGAGGCTCGGGTGCAGCCCCGGGGGCCTCGGCGCCGACAAATAACCCGTCCGGATAAAGCAGGGAGGACGTGGNTCTCGCCCCCCGCCCGCCCTCCGCGGTCCGGCCCAATCAGCGACGGCCGAGAGGCGGTTACCAGGGTGACGCGGCAACGCGTCCGGCGGGGGGCGTGGCCAAGGGGCCGCCACGCGCGCTTTTCGCGGCAAAATTCAAAGGCCGGCAGGGCGGCTCTCCAACCTCCTCCCCCAAGCTGGGGCGAGGCGGGACCAGCCTCGAAAGGACTGCAACTCCCGGTATGCAGCGCGCAGGCACCGGGCGGAGGGGTCCCAACTGAAGACGCAGGGCATGCTGGTACTTGTAGTCCCTTTGTCGGGACAAGGGGTGGAAAACCCAGCATCATTATTGAGCACATATTTGGTATCTAATTGTTAAAAATAATAAAAACAATGAAGAAGCTAACACGTGTAACGAAGCACTTAACTTTCACACACAACCCTGTGAGTTTAATATTGTTATCACCCCCATTTCACAGATAAGAAAACTGATATGGTAGGTGGTATTATACTACCCACTTATAGAGGAAATTGAAGAGATGTGTCGTGACATTTTATCTGGAGTGCTTTGCCCCAAGGCATAGTTTTGGCAGTGATGGACTTTTGGTAGCACCGTTGAGATCTCTGGAGCACTAACTATATAACCAGGCATCATACTGAGTTCTTTATAAACTCTCCCTCATGGAATCTACATACATGGGAGGCAGGCACTGGCATTCTCCCCCACTTAACAGGTGGGGAAACTGAGGCACAATACCACCTGGGTTCCAAATTTTGAACCCACAAAATTATACTAAACCTTGCCTTTTACTTTCTAAGAAGCTTCATAGGTTCTCATTTGGTCTGCCCGAGAGCCCATGAATGGCCCATTTAACAGTCCCATTTGACAGCTGGCAAAATCGAGTCCAGGCAGGAAGAGTTCCCTCAGCTTCCCTGTGTCCCTCACACAGCAAACTGCGAAGCCAGCTTTCCAGGAAAGACCGAAGGATCCCTACAGAAATGCAAAGCAGCAGCCAGAACTCCTCCCACCACCCTCGGACTAGGACCACGTGACCCCCTAGAGGCCCTCAGGCCCTGGGCGGAGTTCCAGCCCTGTCCCTGCTAGCTGTTGGCCTTGAACCTTTGCTTTCATGATTCTGTGCCTCAGTTTCTTGTCTGTACTTTTCAGGGTTGTTGTGAGGGCAAAGTGAGTGATTGTGTGGAAAGGACTCAGAACACAGTAGGTGCTCAATAAATGCCAGCTGTGGTTATAAAGACGCGGAGGGCTTTGGAGACCCTGTCGAAGGCACTCTGGGATGAGCTGATTATAGTCGGCCCTGGCCTACTTCCAGGAGCCAACCCACCCCTACCCAGGCCTGGGAGAGGCGCCCGCGGGGGAGCTCTAGGGCCGGCCCAAGTAGGCCACCTACTGCCTTATCTAGGGCAGGAGCTGGCCCGGTTTCAGGCTGGTGAGCAGCCGCCCAGCGCACAGTTCCCAGCAGCTCGCAGGCT